AAGGTCTGTTCAGTTATCGGATCCTCCTGGTACATCAGATATATGTAAATAGTATTTTGCATTAGTAAAAAAAATGCCTTGGAGTTTTGATTATTCAGCATATGCAAAGACTGCACATAACTGAACTGGTTTAGTGGCTGTTTGTTAATAAAGACTTTTTATGAATAACGTATATTTTTGAAATAAAGAACATAAACTTCAACTGTAGTTAATGTTTCAGATTGATGAGCTTTCATCAAGTCATTAACCTGAAACATTACTTCTGTGTTAGTTTCACTACAGATGCTGACTAAAATTGAGTAGCAGAAATTCTTGGCTTTATTTCGAAGTTCCAGCATCTGTGTATTTAGATTTTGTTATTGGACAAATAGCCTGACTATTTGTCACAGCTGGTGAAAAATGCAGGTTGAGTCTTTTTTAATTCATTCATGAAATATGGATGTAGCTAGCTCGGCTACTGTTTATTGTCCACCCCTAATTGCCCTTGAGAAGGCAATGGCGAGCTAGCTGCCTTGTTGAACTGCTTCAGTCTATGGGGAGCTCCACAGTGCTGTTGGGGAGGGAGTTCCAGGATTTAGACAGTGAAAGAACACGGAATCACAGACTTGTTACAGTGCAGGAGGAGTCTGTTTGGCTCATCGTGCCTCTTAAAATAAGATTCATTACTCGTGTGAATCTTCTGCTATTTTCCCAATATCCTTGCGTACTATTTTTTCCATCCAAATAATTATCCAATGCCCTAGTTCAATACAATGACCATTCTATTCCAAGCATATGTCATCCTGATTTGGAACTGTCAGGCGATTGGCGCATTCATGCATCTGCTACTGTTTTCCTTCTAATTGGTAGGAGTTGTGGGTTTTGAATACCCCTTGGTGAATTGCTACAGTGCATTTTGCAGATTTAATACACTGCTGTCTTTGTGTTCGTGGTGGGGGAGTGAATGTTGATAGTAATGGATGGAATGCCAGTCAAGCAGGCTGCATTAACTTTAATGGAATCAAGCTTCTTGAGTGTTGTTGGCGCTGCACCCGTCAGGCAAAAGGAGAGTATTCTTTCATAGTCTTGACTTGTGCCTTGTGGACAGGCAGTGGGGAGTCTGAAGGTAAGTACTTGCCAAAGAATTTGAAACTTACTCATATAGCCATTTATATGGCTGGTGCAGTTTTTGGTCAATGGGTAGCTCCCTGGTTGTTAATAGAGTGGGATTCAGCAGTAGAAATGCCATTTAAGTTGTGTGGGATTGTCATTGCCCGACACTTGTGTAGTATGAATATTACTTGCCACAAGACTGCATGTTGTCCAGGACTTCTTGCATATGGACACAGATTGCATCAGTGTCTGAGGAGTCATGAAAAATACTGAACATTGTGTAATTGTCAGTGAACATACCCACTTCTGACCTTATAAGTGACAAAATATTGCAAAAAGGAAAACTAGGAGTTGGATGAGAATCAGATACTTCTATCCAGAATATTTTGCATCCTCTCGAATAATTCTTTTTCCATTGAAGTTGAGGCCATTTAGCAGATTCACACAATTGTCTGTCCAGCTGTTTTCCTGTGTAAGTTGAGGCAGAAATTCAATTTATTCAAAATCTTCAAAGCTTAGCTTGTCTTTGAATGGTTTTGCTGTGTTTAATTTTGAAATAGGTTCATGAAATGAGCTTGCATTCCTCATCTTGGAGTCAAAATTTAGTGTTCTAACGCTCAGTCAAGAAAACTGCTGAGCATTTGATGAACATGCAAAGGCAGTACCCTTTTCAAGTTCTTGTTGTTGAAGCTAAATTATTCTTTGCTCTGTCATGCTTCCTCTTACTTTATTTCTAGGATTTACAGTTTTTATTTGTTTTTGTCCTGAACCAGCGATTGACCTCAATAAATGTTGCATTTTGTATCTTATTCCCTTTTTCAATTACAAATCTTGATTATATATTGAGTAAATCCTTCAGTTATCTTGGCTGAAATATTCCTATGGCAATGGTATTTTAGTTCATGGAATTTAACCGCCTTTGATATAAATGTGACCCAGGGGCAGCATGGTGGCTCAGTGGTTAGCACTGCTGCCTCACAGTGCCAGGGACCTGGGTTCACTTCCAGCCTCGGGAATCTGTCTGTGTGGAGTTTGCATATACTCCTTGTGTCTGCAAGGGTTTCCTCTGGGTGCTCCAGTTTCTTCCCACAGTCCAAAGCTGTGCAGGTTAGGTGGAATGGCCATGCTGAATTGCCTATGGTGTCCAGGGATGTGTAGGTTATGTAGATTATCCATGGGATATGCAGGGTTACAGTGTTAGGGTAGGGCAGTGTGCTTGGGTGGGAAGCTGTTTGGAGAGTCAGTATGGACTTGGTAGGCCAAATGGTCTGTTTCCACACTGTAGGGATTCTGTGATTCTACGATAGATGAGCCTCAGCTTCACCAACCTTCACTAAAGCACTATGAACTTCCTTTATCAGGAACAATGACAGAAGTTACTGGAAAAATTTAGAGTCTGGCAGCATCTATGAATAAAAAAATCAGTGTTAATGTTTCGGGTCCAGGGACTCTTCCTCAGTTCTGAGGAAACCCGAAACGTCAACTCTAATTTTTTTCTTCACAGATGCTGCCAGACCTGTTGAGCTTTTCCAGCAACTTCTGGTTTTGTTCCTGATTTACAGCATCTGCCATTCTTTCGGCTTTCCTTTTCATAAGGAACTTAATAGGAATAATACTGTGCTTGAAACATTTCTAATTCTCTAGTTCTTTTACTGTCCTTTGAATTTGTAAACTTTTTAAGATTATTTATTCATCCTGAATCGTTCAGGGATGCAAGCTATGATGCAGGAACCATGAAACCCTGGCAGATTGGCTTTTCAAGCTCAGAAAACACATTTAGTTACATTAGTATTTATTGTCAGGTTTGAATTTTGTGAGCCTAGAGATATGGAAAGAACTGTTTGTAGCTCTAAAGCTAAATTAATATTAAATTTCAAAGTCAGAGCATGAACATCTTTCAGCCTTGGCCAATTTTCCCAAAGTAAGGACAAAACAATTTACTTACTATGCCTTTCAGTATATCAAGATATTCCACAATGCTTTATCGTCAATTGTTATTTTCGTGTGTATATTCACTTTTCTTTGAAAGCAATCATAGCAGTCAGTTTTTTTGCAGACAGCAAAATTCTGCAACAAGATAAATGACTCATTAATGTTATAATACTGATTTGAGGGATAATTTTTGTCTAGGATGCGCTTGCTCTTCTTAAGTACTGTTTCAGTATGTTTTATTTCTGCCTGAGGTGGTCCATAATTTAATGCCTTGGTTTAATTCCACATCTAAATGATGGTACATCATTCAGTCGAGGGCTCCCTCAACATTGCTCTGAATTATTGAAAATGATTTTGTGCTCAAGCTCTGTGGTTGGGTTTAAAATTGCATTCTTTGGATCAGAACTGAAAATCTTCATATGTAAATTGTAATGGCACAAATTATGGATATTAGTGGTTAGCATGCAAACATGAAGCTAAACTATTTCTAACTGTCTGTTAATGCTGCACACTGCATACAGGATTATTGAAATAGTTCACAGAAGGATAGCCTCTTCAAAGAGGCATCTGACATCTGTGGCACCCATACCCTTGCGATGATCATCCGAATCTTAAAAGAGAAAATTGGAGAACTTTATTTGAAGCATTAAAAATCTAGATTTTTAATCATTTCAATGAAAAACAAATGTGACCCACTAAAAATGGATTAATATTCAGTGTTTGTGTCAAGTTTGAGAGCCATTTCCCTCAGTTTAAAATTAGGTGTTGCAATCCTTCCTCCTCATGCAAGAACCCAGAAGTTTAGTAGTTAGAAACAGCTTGATTTTCCTCTACTGTGTTTCTTTGCTCTATTTATTAAATTGTGAACACTGGTATTTCATTTTTGCACTGTGGTTTGAAGCCTGGACAGCAAGGGAATTACTTGGCTATTTAAAAATAAATAATTGCTTCAGAACTTCAAAACCAGTAAGACAGTAGCAAAGGAATATTGAGTGTTGAAGTATTTTAGACAGTGAGCATTGGTACCTGGAGTCCATGTTTGAGTGTAACCCAGACAATTCTATATTCTGGTTTCCAAATTCCTAAATTAAATGAATATTGATGATCTCTCATTTCTTTTGGGTGTAAACCCTCAGGATAGAATTAACTACTTAGTATGAAATGTCATTAAATTTCCCTTTTCTGAAAGAAGCCATAACCTGGCTGATGAGGATAGAAGGCAAAGCTCCCAAATGCAGTTACAAGTTGCTACAATGGGATTGGGATTAAGAGCCGTTATTAGAGCATGTCACAGGTTCAGTACAATGGCTGATGCTGAAACTGTGCACCTGAAGTTGTTGAAATGCTAAATTCTTTCATAACAATATTTGCCTTTACTGAAAACACGAAGGAGATCTTGATTGAAATCTAGCACCAGTTTAAGTCCAGAAAAATAATAGATTTTCATAATTTAATGAAATTATCAAACTGGATAAGGTTAAAATATCTGAATATCCTCCTTTGAATTAGTGACTTCATGACCCTTTTGATGTTTATGCCTTCATTCTACACTGCTTGACGTACAGCAGAGAAACAGACTATTTGGTCCAACAGAGTCCACCAGTGATTAAGCTCCATATTAGCCTCCTTCCACCACTCTTCACCTGATCCTGCTAACTTGCAATTTTTTGCTCCCTCTGTTCACCTACCTTTTCCTTTTAAGGCATCTATGTATTTGCCTCAGTACTTTTAAGTGCCAAAATATCAAGTTAGACAGTCTTCTCTCTCTGGTTTCGTTCTCCCACTGCAAAGGTTCTTCAATATGTGGCATGTTTCTAGTGCCAACTTGGCTCGCTAGTAATAGTCTTGTCTATGAGTCATCAGTCACAAGATTTGGCATGTGATCTTGATTTATACATGAGTGCAGAACTAAGGAAATCCCATATTGGTGCAGTGATGGTTGTCTTTTGAATGAAATGTTAAACAGAGATTCTGGAAGATTGAAAAGATCCAATGGTGTAATTCAAAGAACAGCATTGGTGTTCTCTTTAATGTATTGGTTGAGATGTATCTTTCATATAATACCACTGAAAGAAATTGCTGTTAATCTCATTCCTGTTTGTGTGCAAATTGACTATTGGAATGTATGGATTTACTCTGATATTTTAATTTGAGAGTTTTTTTTCTCTTAATGGTCAGTATTTTAACAACGTTGCAATCTGTATCTTATAAAGTTTAGAAGTATCACACTTTGGAGGGCTGCTTGACCTGCTAAATGCTGAGTTGATACTTTCCCTGGACGAACAGTTTAGAACTGGGTGAGCCAAATCTCAGAATAATGAGTTGGCCAGTCAAGACCTAGATGAGAAATTTCTTCCTTCAAAATTGTTGTAAATCTTTTAAGTTTTTTTTACCCAAGGTGGCTGTGGATGTCCAGTTGATGTATGTTCAAAGCTGAATCAATAGAGTTTTTTGAACGATAAGAAAAAGAAAAAAAAGGAGATAATACAGAAAATGTATTGAATAGGAGCGAGATGCTGCACGGTCTTTACTTTTTTCTGTTCATATAACAGTTTTATTCAGTTGTCTTCAGTTCATAGTTCGTGTGTACAAACAGTGAGATATAAACATTTACAGTTAAGATATTCACAAGACTTCTGTCTCAGCTGGTACATAACAGAACAGTAAGGGAATGTCAGAAAAGTCTCATGCTACTTGTGCTTGGCGTCTGCTAGCTGTCTGTTAGTTTGGTCCTATATCTAAAATGTACATTTGGTGTGACATTCCTAATTCATGTACTCAGAATATTGTGCAACAGTGGAGATCTAAGTGGTTTGAAAATTTTTTTAACAATTCTTTCCCTTTTTAAATATTAGCACTGTATCCAAAGTTTTTTGATTTAGATGCCGTTGGTATTATAGCTGAAATGGTCAGTTTCACAGTTGCCTTTTTACAGAAACTCTAGATTGTTTGTTTGTAGGCTGAACATTTAACATTTGCTATCCTTTTACTACTCACACAAACAGCCTGAACTGACATGTTTTACTTCTCCAGTATTTCCACAGATTTGACTCTTCTGGGTATATAGTTCCATAGATACCAGCAGCTTTTCTGTTGTCTTTCGAAGTGGTCACTATTCTTGTGTATAAGTCCTCGGTAGTAAATGCCAGCAGGTTTTTCTTGTGAACTCACTCACGAAGAATTACAAGATTTGTAAGGAATTGAGGATGTATTCAGTTGTTATCTCTGCTTGGGAGGAACTCATTGATAGATCTGCAATGGACAATCGTGATTTTAAACACTTATCAATGAACAGATATCCCTCGTGTGACTTCCAGGATGCTAATGGAAAGGATATCCTGGAGGTCATGGTGAGCATATCTGCTTAAATCTGATAACTGGCCAAACATTAATCCACTGTTGCCAAGCATTGTAGGGATTTTTTGTTTAACCTTGGTTGAATATATGACCTTGTGCTTATTTAACAAGAAATAAAAATATTATGAACTAAAACTGCGCAGCATGTATTAATGCTGGTAGGTAGCTGGATGCTAGTAGAGCGGTGTAACAGGGCATATGAGAAGAGAGAGTTTAATGTTCATGGATACTGTAAGACATAACTGAATCAGTGATTGAGAAAAAATGAGCAATATATGTAGAAAAACCTAGTAGTTGATTAAATTTGCTGGATTTGTCAAACTTGCATTAACACCAGAGATGCAAAAATGAAAATAAAGTCCATATAGAGCCAAAATAATTTATCAAGTGAAGACGCTTTTCAAGGAATGTTATCGAAAAATTTCCTTGCTCTCTTTCTCACTGCAGCGTGGACACACCTGATTGTTGATTTTTCTGCCTCCATGCCCCCCACCTACCCAGATGATTTAAGTAAGGGTACTGAAGTGATATACAATATAGTAATTGCTGTTGCAACTGAATGTACTCTGTACTCTATACTCTGCTTTCAACTTTTGTCCGAACTTACGCATACAATTAGCCCCTAAAAATTACCGAGGCATCTTAAATGGGATCAGCTTCAAACTAAATTTGGATCTGTGAACAGAAGGTGCGTTAATTCTATGAGTGTAAGTCAGTTTCAATTGAACTCTTTTTGTATTGTGTCCTACATTGAGGAAAACTGTTAGAGTATAAGGAAGTGAACTCTGCATATTTGCAATGATCGTGCATGAATGTGCTTGCTTCTGGAGCATGAAACGGAAACTTGTTTGAAGCACTTTCTTACACGTATGCTAATTGAGGGAAGAACCTACAGTCACTTTTTTTGGTTAAAAAGATTGTTTATGTTTCTTAGAATTCTTAACTTTTGAATGCGTGTTTCTTTTTGAGGAAGAGGGAATAGGAAAAGATTGAACTTTTACCAAACATCTGAGTGATACATTATAATGTTTCCTAGTGAATACATTACAGATAACACTACATAGCAGAAATTAGTCCGAGCCTACATTAATGTTTTAGCAAAGATTTGTAGCTCGGGTTGTGGGTGAGGTTGTTGACTTGCTCGCCGAGCTGACTTGTTTTCGTTCAGACGTTTCGTCACCATGCTAGGTAACATCATCAGTGAGACTTCTGATGAAACGCTGTTTTTCTACTCCACTTGGAATTTATACTGTCCGGTCTGTTATGGTGAGTTGTCATTTCCAGTTTTGTTCTGTATGGGTTTGTATATGGGGTCCAATTTTATATGTTTGTTGATTGCATTATGAGTTGAGAACTGCGCATGCCTTGTGTTTGGCTTGGGCTACTATGGTTACGTTGTCCCAGTTTAAAAAGTGGTGGCCTTCATTGTCTGAGTGTACTGATGTTAAGGCAAGTCCGTTGTGTCGCTTTGCTGCTAGCTGATGTTCGTGTATTCTGACGGCTAGTTTCCTTCCTGTCTGTCCGATTGTAATGCTTGTGGTAGTCGTTGCATGGTATTTTGTAGACTGCATTGACTCTGCATTTTGTGGGAATGGGGTCTTTAATCCTTGCAAGTGTTTGTTGCAGAGTGGCTGTGGGCTTGTGTGCTACCATGATTCCTCGTGGTTGTAGGAGTCTCATTGTCAGTTCTGAAATGTTCTTGATGTAGGGCAGTGTGGCCAGTGTGTTAAGGCGTACTGTGTCCTCTTGTTTTCTATTTATTAGGTACCTGCGGATTAAGTTGCGGCGACATCCGTTCGTAGCCAAGATTTTGTATGGGCGCTCTTCCTCTTTCCTGTGTAGTTCTGGCATGTTGCAGTGAGTCGTGGCCCGTTTAAATAGTATCCTAATCCAGCTTTGTTTGTGGATGTTGGGGTGATTGCTGTGGAAGTTGAGAACTTGGTTATTGTGGGTTGCTTTTCTGTATACTGAGGTTTGGAACTTGCCACTGCAGCACGCCAGAATTTCACTCTGAACAGATATCCCTGCAACTTCATCCACAGGTGTCTACAAAATAGACAACAACAAGAGGACACAGTACGCCCTAACATACTGGCCACACTTCCCCACATCAAGAACATATCAGAACTGACAACGGGACTCCTAGGACCACTAGGAATCATGGTAGCACACGAGTCCACAGCCACTCTAAAACAAACACTCTTCAGGATTAAAGACCCCATTTCCACAACATGCAGAACCAACATAGCCTACACAATACCATGCAACGACTGCCGCAAATATTACATCGGACAGACAGGAAGGAAACTAGCCATCAGAATACACGAACATCAGCTAACAGCAAAACGACACAATGAACTTTCCTCAACATCAGTACACTTGGACAATGAAGGCCATCACTTTTTAACTGGGACAATGTAGTCATAGTACCCCAAGCCATACAGGAATTCCTAGAGGCATGGTTCTCAACTCATAATGCAATCAACAAACATATCGAATTGGACCCCATATACAAACCCATACAGAACAAAACTGGAAATAACACAACTTACCATGACAGACCACACAGTATAAATTCCAAGCGGAGTAGAACAACATCGTTTCATCAGAGGCCTCACTGATGATGTTACCTAGCATGGTGACGAAACGTCTAAACGAAAACAAGCCAGCTCAGCGAGCAAGTCAACAACCTCACTACATTGATAGCAGATAAAATGGACATGTAGCTCTGAGTCTCAGACTATCCATTGCTATCATATATGCAGCTGAACCAGTCCCCTCATTGCTTGCAATTAAAAATGGGAGCTGGTGAATTGATTACATTTTAAGCAGACCAATATTTCCTGACTGCTAGATCATTAAATTTTCTTTCCTTTTCCAAGAAATGATCTGCTAATCTCGGTACAGTCTGTGACTACCAGTTGAGATGTGAATTGATTTTCCTCTATGTAAACTTACTTGATTGGTCATAAAAAGAACTTAGTACTTTTTAGCACGCAATTATATCAACCTTCAATTAAAGTGTAGTTCTTGTCAAAATTAGGGAGGCAATTGCAAGGCCTTCTTGAGTAAAAGAAAGGGGAACTTTATTCTCTAGTAACCACAAGGAAAATTAATGCAGCAATATCAAATAAACACATATGCACACACACCGCTTAAGGGAAGACTTACTCATACAAAAAGCATCAAGAATAGGTTGTTTAAAATGTTCTGAGAGCCCTTGTGTTGTACACAGTTTGGGTTACCTGCGAGCATAACTGTTTAATTGATATCTTGTATCATCAGCGACAGCAAGTTTCTTGTTATTTGACTCGATTAACTGGTTTCAACGTCTTCTCAGAAAATGGCAGTTTCAGTTCAGATGATTTTGTTTATGGCTGTGTTTGCTGACACTGATGCACGTGTGCTATGCACCACTTTGAAATCTGTACACAGGCGATTTAGAAGGTGGAGGTTGAGATTGGGACTTGGGTAGAGGTGAGGGAAGAAATAGTCAGGACCCTGGAAGAGAAAGTGGGAGGAGAGATTGGGATCCGGGAGAGAATCAATGTGGGGAGTGGGACATCTGCAGGGAGGGGGAGGTGTGCAGAAGGGAGACAGGGGAATAGGGCCTCCTGGATGCTGGGCTCTCCTCCTCC